TCGTCGACACACTCCCAATCTTTACAACGTTGTTGACGAGAGACTTGTGGACGATAAATCCGACACCTCCTTGAGACAGATGGTCGCCCTCCCGGTGATAGAACAAGTTGCTGGACTCGAGGATTACCGTGTCCTCCCCCCTCTCTTCGGACCTCAGATAATCCAATAATATGCCAGCGCAACTTGTCTACCTCTTCTTCCAGCTCCATTATCTTCTCGTCAGTCCTCAGGGTGCGTGCGTTATACGAGAGTGTCGAGTCGTCGTAGGTGGCAACCGAACCTCCACCGGAGATTCTTAGCACCCCCTGCCCCGCCGTTACCATGGTCGCCACCGTAGCCAGGAATAGCGGGGCCGCCGGGGACTGGGGGCCGTTTATTTGCGTCGTTGCTCATGGGGGGATATTTGCCATAGTTGCCACGCTTGGCGAGCGGGTTGGCAACAGCAGTTTTTTATTATGTTATTGTTGTTATTAGGAAGATGCTGCTGCCCATCTCCTTTCTGTGTCCCTCTGTCGCCTCTTACGACACCCACGGGAAGATATGGGGTAGTGGATATTCTCAACCGCCACTACACGGCACATCATGTATCTACATCATGTATAAAAATTACTAAAACAAAATAAAACACTTGTGGCGAAACTATTGAATGTATTTGTTTGATATTTTGTGTACGATTTATAACGTTATTGTAGTGAACCTGATACTAATCTGTATCTAAACTAAGGTTTGCAACAAAAAACTTCGTCATCAAAAAAGCATGTGTTTTTTTTTACAAACAACACAAAACACGCGGTAGTAGTGCAACCTTCAAATGAATTGAGATATAAAATAAAATATTATATATACGGCACATATATTCGGCAATTAATTAATTTAATTTGATAATTGAGGCGTGTGCTCGAACAACGTTGTACGTTACAATTTGGCGAAATGGTAATACTGGCATCGTTCACAATTTTTTAACCACATTTTTTTAAACCTTGTTAAATTTATTTTTGTTTCAGGCTCGTATTTGTAAAGGTAACTGCAAAAAAGAAGGTTGCGTGTCATTGACATTAGAGCAACAGTTGAACTATTACCAAGATTATTACAAATTTAGTTATGATAACCAGTCATGTTTTTTAATGCAGTGTATTATTATTAAGAAGCCAACACGAAGGAAGAAGGGTAACACAGAATCAAATTCTAGAAGATTGTCGACATTCATATACACGATTAAAAACAAAGAAGTTTACCAAAAAACATTCCTGCATACATTTTCACTGACGCAAAGTCGTATTCAGAACCTGTAAACAAAAATTAAGAATGGGGTAGTTGTCCCCAAAGATTAACGTGGAAATCACGACAGTCGACCTTATCGTACTCCTGATGCCTTAAAGAGTAAAATACGGGAACATAATCAAAGTATTACAAAGCAACCTAAACATTACAGTCGTTACAAAACTGAATTAGAGTATACCCCGCTGGACTTAATAGCAATAAAATGTTAAGCATGTTCATAACAAAATATCCCGAGTTTGCTAATAAAATAAACAGAACTCTTTATGTGCAAGTATTTAGACGGATAACACCACCCCTGCGATTTGGCTTACCAAGATCCAATACATGTAAGTATTGTGATTCATTGTATATAAAAATTATGGCGGCCAGTACCACATAAGAAAGAGATAAATGGGAAAGAGAAAGCTTAATTCACCATATGAAGAGTGATCAAGCGTATTAACATCTTTTTACCTATAACAAAAGAGAAAAAATAAAGATTTGCTTGATATGACACAATATCTTCGCCCAGAATGTGCAGAATTCTAAATTAATCTACCTATAGTAGTAATTAAAATTTTGATGTTCAATTCTGCTTTTAGATCAGCATACCTGATTATAAACTTCCTATATTGTTACTGCTTAGTTGAACAACGTTGAAAGTCATGTGCTATACAGCATTGTTCTAATAAATAAGATTTAAAATGCTGTTTAAAATGATTAATGTCTCTAAATGTTTCATATTACTCATTTTCTGTGTAAAAGTTCCTAATTATTATAAATTTGTAGAATTTTCATGACAAAATGGTATTGCAGCAAATTTATAATATTTTTATTTTCTCTAAACTGCATATTGCTACATACAGGGTTGTTCGAGCACACGTCTCAATTTTCAACCACAAGTGCGTCATAAAATATAAGATAAAAGTTTAATTTATAGCAAATAAATGTTACAATTCTTATTTTTAGACTAAATTTTAGTGTAATAAATAAAATAATATTTTCTTTCAAGCAAAATTGCTTTTAAATTGCGGCATCTACTTCAGTCTACAGATAAAGACATTATAAAGAAAAAAAATAATTGATTCTCAAGATGGTACGTAAAATAGACGCTAGATGGCCTGAATTATGAAATCTTGGATTGTTATGAATGGATTAGTTAAGATAATTTTATATAATATAGTTATAAATTTGTAAGTTTTTGTATTGTTTATTTTAACGGTTAAAATTTATATATTAACTATCTTTAAAGCACCGCACAAAGAGTGTGAGATAAAACGAAACATAGTATTTAAAAAATACTAACAATTCTAATAACATTATTAATATGCCCTTTAATCACCACTGGTTAGACGAAAATGCTTGTGTTAGATAGTCGTTCACGACAGTAGTCATCATCATTACAGCCCTTCACAAGTCCATTGCTGAACATAAGCCTCCCCCAAGTAATGCCACAAAGCCCGGTCCTGAGCCACCTGCATCCATCGACTTCCTGTATGTCTTATCAGGTCGTCACTCCATCTAGTGGGGGGTCGCCCTACAATTCGCCTACCGGTACGAGGCAGCCACTCGAGAACCTTTTTTTCCCCATCAGTCGTCGGTTCTTCGAGCTATATGGCCGGCCCATTGCCATTGCAGTACTAATCTACTAATATTTCGGTCACTCTCATCCTTTTTTATAGTAAAGGGTGACAAACGAGCACACAGTCCACCTGATGGTAAGTGGTTGCTGCGGCCCATAAACATCTACATCTATCTTCGTTTACAAATCAAAATGCAGATGCCTCGTTTCCAGTAAAAAGGGTTTCCGGTTCTCTACACTCACCATACGAAACACTGCTATTCTGTGAGAGCGTGGTCCTTCCCCGGTCAAGCCGACCCAGTCGTGCTACAACTATACTACTAATATAACTGCATCATGATCATCTACCTATATACTCATTTCTAAGTTTATCACGCAGAGAAACCCCGAGCATAGCCTTCTCCATAGCTCGCTGAGCGACCTTGAACGTCCTCATATGGCCAGCAATGAAAGATCACGAGTCAGTTGAATAAGTCATCACTAGCAACACGCACTGGTTGTACAGTCTGGTTTTCAGGTTTTTAAGGTATAGCTGACGAGAAGAAATGTCGTAATTTCCCGAACGCTGCCCAGCCGAATTGAATCCGTCGATGCACGATAGTAGTCGAAGTTCATTAATTCACACAGCACACAAACGTTCAGCACAAAGGCCGTCCCAATAAATTGCCTTATATTAGGGGGGATTTGCAAGCATGTTGTCAACCGCAGCTTTTTTTTATAATCCGTCGTAAAGAAAGTCACAAAGATGCTGTTGCCCATCTTATATTTTATTTTCCTTGATCCCTGAATCTTTTTCACTACGTTACGAGGCGTTCCATCTTAGTCCCTCAGAGGTAAAGATGCGTCTGCTTTTTCGACAATAGATCGATATCTAGGAGGCTCACAGTGTAATAGGTCGGGGAAAAAGTTTATTCGTATTTTGTTTGTATAAAATTGAAGAAAAATTTTTTTGGTTGTATTGTTTGTATCTGACTGGATTTAATATCTGTACATATAGGACATTAAGAAAAAGAAAAAGTAAGAAACACTTTCCCGCTATTTTCCAATTGTTTTTCTGTTCGCCAAAATGATTGAATTTCGATGTCAAAGATGCTACTCGCTCTGGTCGCCCCCATACGGAAGTCGATGCCATTTTTAAAAGAGTGGAGCATGTTCGGCATATTAGTAGTTACGACATACGACATAGCCGAGCCGTTTTGCAGTTTTGATCCGTTTGAAAAATTCTGGCTATACATAAAAGCTAGATATTTGGGTACCACACGAGCTCACTGAAAGAAACGTAATGAAATGTGTACTCATTTGCGATTCTCTATTGAAACATAATGAAACCGAACCTTTTTTGAAAATATTACTCGAAGCGAAGAAGATCATGATCAAATGGTATTCAAGCTCCAGAGACGGATTGGAAGGGCATCGTTTATTATGAGCTTTTACCGCCGGGAAAAACCATCGTTCGGATCTCTACTACCAACAACTAATGGGACACAAGCAAGAAATTGAAAAAAAAAAATACGGTCGAAATTGATTAACAGAAAAGGAGTGATCTTTCATCGTGATAACGCCAGACCACACACATCTTTGGCCACTCAGCAAAAATTAAGAGAGCTTGGTTGGGAAGTAATAATGCATCCACCATATAGTCCTGGCTTTGCACTCTCAGATTTTCACCTGTTTCTGTCTCTTCAGAATTCTTTAGGTAGTGTTAGGCTACCATCAAGAGAGGACTGTCAAAACCAGCATTTTTTTATCGAAAATCCCGAGATTTCTACAACAACGGGATTATGTTACTATCTACAAGACGGCAATAAGTTATCGAACAAAATGACACATACTATATATTATAATTAAATGTAATTAAACTATGAAAAAAATGTCTTGATTTGTACATAAAATACAAAGGAACTTTTTCTTTATTTAAGATGTTACGAGATTTTGATTTTAGTCCATGACTATGTCATATGCATGTCCCATGTCCATATCATGTGACTACATTTAAAAACATGTTTTTTGAATGTGACTGATGTAATTTTATAAATATTTACGAGGTGGTTCTTTGAGACATAAGCATATGTAAAAGAAACACTGCATGAATAATTTAGGGGTCATGCTGCACGAATGCGACATCAATTCGGAACAAGTACGGCGCGGTAATACTCACTTGGCAGAGTTGCGCGGCGCGGCGTCGGCGGCGCGGTACGTTTGCGGGCAGTCACAGCTTGAGCTCGTTCGCGATTTTTGAAGCGATGTTCTTGAAACCAATGCTCGTGCCTGGAACAGAACATTTTTATAATGTACAGTTTTTTTTTGCCAGTATCGTTTTTGTGCTGCTAAAAATATGATCCATGACGCTAAAAAAATGAAACGACATCGTTTAAGATCTCAAAGTAACAGACAAACATTTATGCATGTTACAAACATAACGTAGAGTCAAAAAATATCAACCTAACATTTTTGTAAAAAAAATCGTCTGAAATGAAAAAGTAAGGGCCTTTATACACAATCTTTAAAATGTAGTATCGCTATTATATTTCAATATAATAGAAAAATTATACACAATTGAGATACAAAAATAAGCATGTTAAGGAAGTAAAGATATTACATTATCACTCTCATAAATAATCTATCATACACATCAAGTCGAAAACGAGAAGTAAGCTGAATTTCCGAATTAAGTTCAGTGAGTGTTTAATCGACTCACCTGATATCCGCTTGAATCTCACACCATTGAGTGACAACCGGGGCAGCTTGCACACTTCGATCTCCCACTGCACCAGCGAATCCGCGTTCGGGTCCCCGTGTACGCACAGTAACAGGAAACGTTCCCGTTGCTCGTAGTCACAGTTGTTTGCGTCTAACACCTAACACCAGAAACGGATAATGATTTCTTATATTTACGCGAACACTACACATTGATTAAAACTACTTTTACGGATTTTATCGCGTTTATTTTACTATTATTTTTAATTCCCTGCTTGGGATCCTATAATCAATAAAATTAAAACTAAACCCAAGCATACCACTGCAAGACCTCAGGACATAGTCAGTTCATTTTGCATAGATCGGACCATAAACAATAATTAAAAAAAGCTGAAGGTACTCCGGGTTTAACAATGACATCGGACGTCAGTCATCTCAGTCCCCCGTGACCATGGGTGCTGGAAAGCGCCCGAAACGTCGGGAATTAAAAATAATAGTAAAATAAACGCGATAAAATCCGTAAAAGTAGTTTTAAGGACGCGTTTACAAAATGGATAGGTATAGAATCGCACTACTACATTGACAAAAGTCACACACACACTAGTGTACGCACGGTTGGCTGTGGGAATCGTAGTCAAATGAAATTATTTTGATAATTTGAAAGATTGAATTTGTTTTTCATTTCTTATACCTACCTCAGAAATATACTTCGATACGAAATATGAATACCTGCTCCAAAGACTGCTTGGCACTGGAAGCCCTCTACTGGTAGTGAGATGTTAGCTCTGGACTTTGAACTGGTTTTGTCAGTTATAATAAGACCTTACCTACCTGCGGACTTGATGGAGTGACCTGAAGGTGTAATTTGGTGATTACAACAATAGGAACTCCTAGACTAGTGGAACTAGGTGTGCCGAGTTTGGGTTCGTTTTGTTTGTTATGATGAGACCTTACCACCGGACTTGATGGAGTGACCTGAAGGTGTAATTCGGTGATTACAAGTGGAACTCCTAGACTAGTAGAACTAGGTGTGCCGAGTTTGGGTTCGTTTTGTTAGTTATGATGAGACCTTACCACTAGACTTGATGGAGTGACCTGAAGGGGTAATTCAGTAACTACTGCTGGAATTTCTGAACGAGTAGAACTAGGTGTGCCGAATTTGGGCTCCGTTTTGTTAGTTATGACGAGTCCATACCTCCGGACTTGATGGAGTGACCTGAAGGTGTAAATCGGTGATTGCAACTGGAACTCCTAGACTGGTGGAACTAGGTGTGCCGAGTTTGGGTTCGTTTTGTAGGTTATGATGAGACCTTACCACCGGACATGATGGAGTGACCTGAAGGTATAGTTCGGTGATTACAAGTGGAACTTCTAGACTTGTAGGACTAGGTGTGCCGAGTTTGGGTTCGTTTTGTTAGTTATGATGAGACCTTACCACCAGACTTGATGGAGTGACCTGAAGGGGTAATTCAGTAACTACTGCTGGAATTTCTGAACCAGTAGAACTAGGTGTGCCGAATTTCACTCCATTAAGTCCGGTGGTAAGGTCTTATCGTAACTAACAAAACGAAACCAAACTCGTCACACCTAGTTCTACTAGTCTAGGAGTTCCATTTGTAACCACCTGATTACACCTTCAGGTCACTCAATCAAGTCCGGTGGTAAGGTCTCATCGTAACTAACAAAACGAACCCAAACTCGGCACACCTAGTTCTACAAGTCTAGGAGTTCCACTTGTAATCACTGAACTACACCTTCAGGTCACTCCATCAAGTCCGGAGGTATGGACTCGTCATAACTAACAAAACGAAGCCCAAATTCGGCACACCTAGTTCTACTCGTTCAGAAATTCCAGCAGTAGTTACTGAATTACCCCTTCAGGTCACTCTATCAAGTCCGGTGGTAAGGTCTCATCGTAACTAACAAAACGAACCCAAACTCGGCACACCTAGTTCTACCAGTCTAGGAGTTCCAGTTGCAATCACCGATTTAGACCTTCAGGTCACTCCATCAAGTCCAGAGGTATAGACTCGTCATAACTAACAAAACGGAGCCCAAATTCGTCACCCCTAGTTTTACTCTGCAAGAAGTTCAAATAGCGGTCACGAAAGTACACCTTCAGGTCATGCCATCAAGTCCAGAGGTAAGGTCTCATCATAACCAACAAAACGAGCCCAAACTCGGCACACCTAGTTCCGCTCGTCCACGAGTTGCAGTAGTAGGTAAGTTTATATATCCTACTTATTTTTAGCTAAATAAAAACTGTGAGTATAAAAATAATAATTTTATCACTTGTCAAGTACTTATGTTTCCAATTTGTTTTTTTCTAATATTTTGTGTATGTACAGCGATCTTTTCAGAATGAGCCGCTGCAAACAGGCGATACAGTGTCCACTCACGACGGCGGCCGAGCGCGGACTGTGGTTTCATCGAAATCTTTGTACAATAAATCAAAGCAGGCACCAACAATAAAATAGCCCTTATTGCAATACATTATGATTCATCCATATTACCAAAATATGTGAAAAAATGTGCATCAGTTTTTATTTTTTTTACGACTATTTGTGAAATTTTGTTAAAAAATAAACCCAGGGTTTTTTAATTGAATATGTCTGTCATCTTATAGTATTTTTTAATTTTTTTAAATATGTTGATAATAGACCAAAACATGTACCGAAACACAAGCCGGTATCGTTAATTTTGTAGAAAATGGCAACGAAAGTTCGTTTTTACAATATAAAAAACTACTATTTTCAACAAAAGAGTTACATACATTTGCAGATGAAGAACCAATCTATACATGGTAGTTTTTACTTATATTCGATTTGGTTTAGTTTTGTCACAAAATCTACCGAAAAACACCCTAATTTTGGTTGATTTGCAAACGCGTCCTTAATCAACCAGAAACGGAATTATAGATGTGGCTCTGGTGTATATATAATGCGACTTTATAGAGATTCAAAGTAAGTTTTCAGTATAATATACTGGACGTGTAGTGGCCATGAAGGATAATGCACTGTCCCATATCATCCCGTGAATGTCAGAAGAGACGACAGAGGATTTGATGAAGATTTATCAACTCAAAATACCTGGCTCACCTGCCAAGGGCAACTATAGCAAATATTCCCCCTATGGGGTTATCTATGGGCAAGTGTATTCAGCAATGGTTGACACATCCTGTATAAGTAACATGTTTATTAAAATCTGTTTAAAAACTAAAAATTTATAAAATATTCCCACACTTTCACAGGAAGGACAAATTTTCACTACTACTTTTACAGGATGTAGGAATATTTTTTAAATTTTAGTTTTTACCTTTCGAATTTCAGCCATTATCTCGTTCGGGTCTCGTGATGAAGTGGTCTTCATACTCCAAGTGAAGCGAAGTACGCGCGGCTTGACTTGCTCCTCGTTGCCTTGCCTGCCAACATACCAAAATGGAAACCCACCTAACGCCTGTTCTATACTTAATGCTAATTAAAACATTGTTGAATTTTCACTATTCGAAAAGATTATTGAGTTTTTTTCTCAATGATGAAAATTTTTCGTAAATGTAGGGATAACCTGTTTATTTTAAAAATACCTACCATAGTTTTGGAAAGTATCTTTTTATTAATTTTAAGTATTGTAATCACAAGAAATATGACTACATCCTGTCCAATGTTTTTATCAGTTGTTACTTTGATAAATTCTATAACATTAACAATCAAGTAGTATGTTATTATTTGTGATAATTACGCGCATATGAAGAATGAAAATCAGTTAGAAAATGAATGCAAATGAGTTAAATGCAAGCATATTTAGTTATGCAACGCACCATTATTGATATGTTAAAAAATCGTATCAAATATTTAAAGGTCTAAAAACACGGTTATAACGTAAAAAGTACATAGCTCTGTGTATTATAGTTAAGTTTATTAAAAAAAATAACAGAAACTGTGACTACAGAATGCTGTGACAAGATGAAATGTATAAAATTAAATACAAAGGTCTAAAATACTAATAAAAATTAATGAAAACATAGTTAAAGACTAGAGGCTAAAGATATTTTTATAAGGCACAAACACAAAGGATAAAATGGAATAATTACCCAAGCAGGGCTTGTGGGCTAGCGCCTACAGCATGCTTCGGAGTGGTACCGTCCAATGGCCTAAAAACAGAAAAACATAAAAACTAAAACCAAACACTAGGACGCAGGCTAGGATGCCCACACGCCTCCAATACGAAATTCTTTTAACGAGCTGATTATTACTTCAATAATTTAAATAGAAAACTTTCATAGATTTCATTAGGATTATTAATTAAACTTTAATAAATAAATTTATTAATTTGTCATATTTAATTAAATATTAACATAGTATTTGTGATCAGCAGATCAGTATTCACTATCCAATGAAAAACGCAAATACACATGAATTTATCCATTTAAATATTTATAATAAAAAAGGCATTTTAATACAAGCATTTTAACGCAACACCATACTTTTTTCGTTCACCTCACAACAGCATTACTTTGAACATAATACTCAATTTTTAAAATGCTTTAATAGCGAAGCTACTTACATAATCAGCTAGATAAAACCATTACAAAGTAGACGAGTGGGAGTCAAAACAAAACTCATCTACGTAAAAGCACACAAAAGCAAGCCAACACACACAAAATTCAAATTTCCTACGAACATTCCATGCCAAAATACACCTAATGGACTTACCTTTACAATTTAAATGAGGTTGAGTAATTATTTGATAACAACATTCCATACCAGAATAAAAATTAGTTAGTACCAAGTTACATGAACTGTCATGTCATGAATAGAAAACAAATCCTATTTTATAATGCAGAACTAATCAAAACTAACCAACATGTACACAAAAATAAATATTTTGACTTTTTAATTTTTAATCATAGTATCATTATGGACGGAAAAAGAAAAATCCAAGTTATAGAATAAAATTTTGCTGCAGTATTCCATTATGAAGCAAAACATGTTTAACCCTGAACACAAATATAGATTTTCGTGGAAAGACATTTAGCGAAAATAGCTTTTATTAAAAAAAAATTAAACGAAAATAAAAAAAATTCTTGATTTAACCGTTTTACCTGTGACATAATGTTAAATTTATGAACCAGGAGCGAAGAAAGTATTCATATCATATTCAATTTACTTTCCGATCTATTGTTATATCGTTGAAAATCAAACGAAAAAGATTTAAAGGAAGTTCGAAAATAAGAAAAAATACATCACACTACTAGTTTAAAAAAACAAAGCAAAAGGTTAATCACATTTCCAAAAAAAATTAAATCTTTAAAACCGAAGAAAAAACACATTAAAGTGCAAGCCTATTCAGTAACTCGTTATTTTCGTTGTAATCCAACCAATATCATATTTACGTATGAAACTACTTTCGTATGACAGGTGATTCAAACTTTTAAAGAAAAAATATATAAATTTTCATTATAAAAAACATTACCATGAGTAATATTTGTATCAATAGTGTCTTTAATTCTGTAGCGGAATATTTTATGAATTTTTATATCACTACAAAAATATAGAATATAGAAAATTGGTTGGAATACTCGTTCAAACGTAGAAAAACAAGAAAGTCGTTTATTGGACACGTGGAATGGTCTATTTACGGTAGGCGAAATTAAAAAAAAATCAAATTCTAACTATATACAATTCCCCAATGTCTTTTTACCAATACATTTAAATGTTAAATATTTATACTGAAGTATATTTTAATAAAGAAAATAACTATGAAAAAAGCAACCTCAACAATGGATTTGTTGAATGTCAATATTATTTGAGAAATAATTTAGTCTTAAATTATTTTCAAAAATAGGAAAATATTTGCTTTAGGAAACGAACTTAGATTACATGTTATAAATTACATTGCGTAATGCATCCCAAACTAATTTTGTGTTAGCCTTATATATTTCTACGACATCACCGAACGTTTTCGCCTCGAAAATCTCCCACTACGTGCCATCCTAACCTCAACAGTAAAAACTTCCAAAAAAAAACAAACAAAACTCTGTAATAACAACCCGTCCCTACCTCCGCTGTATGTCCAAAGAGGAAAATATGCGAGGTTTCGGACGTCCAGTCGCTTCACCCAACACGGATAGGCTGATGGAACAACACTTACCATGTTATAATTTTTTCAAATATCGACGGAATCAATTTATGAAAAAATATATTAAAATGCGAGTTTTAAAAACCTGAATAGATAAATTTTGCATTCATATCCTTCAGTAAATTCCTCCACTTTGTGTTATGTTAAAATAATGAAGTAAAAATAAGGTTCATTTAAGTACTCATTGTAGGTAAAATGATAAGAATTGTTGCAACGTGACCATGACCTAATATCTATTTAAAAAAACATAAATATAAAATTATTACATTCACTTAACGCTGAAAGGAAAATTTTTGGGACACTTTGAAATAAAACAACAAATTGTTAATCAAAAATCTGTTAATCCGAGGAAGCGCAACACACTTACATAATCAGTATTGTTTTGTGTCTACAAAAAATTTAGATGTAATATATTTAATATAACTCTCGTTCGACAGTGCCTTGGATATTTTAGGCTTTTTCATTGCAAATATAACTATTACAGAAAACTATCGATGACGATATATAGGAAAATAGAGGTTAACATGATTATACAACGTTACTGTCATTTAGTGATTCAAACAAGACAAAACACATTCTTGGAAATTTAATATTTTTTATTACATTTGTGGTGATAAGCAATTTTTAAGTATTATTTAAAATATATTTACGACTTCAATATTAAGCCTCACTTCATATTTTTATTTAAACAGAAAATATATGTAACCTTTTTACATAGATATACAAAAATATTTTTAATAACTTGTTATAGTTATTCTATTTCACGATGAAGTTTTATTTGGGTTGTTGTTAGCCGTACACATATACATTGTTAGTGTGCGTAGGCCTGGGGAGCTTAAGCTCGGGAGTTACACACACAAACTCGCCTGTCGGTACACGTTTCTACTATAATCAAGGCGAAACCTTCATCGTGAAATAGAATAACTATACTTTGCGTGGTTTAATATGTTTTACAATGACCGGGAAGTTTTTTCATAAAATAACAATAAAAGTATGCTTTAAGAATAATAAACAAAATACATATATTTGAATCTTATACAAATAATGCAGTTTCATGTTTTAAAAATAGGTATAAAATATTTCTTCTGGTTTGTGAGTACTATAGGAAAAATTAAATAAGCTATCACATATATTATATGCTTCAAAATATTAATTCACAATGTCAAGTTCTTTTTTTATTACTTAAATCATATGTTCACTAAATCTACAGAGGAGTAACACATTAATTGCAATAATTTGTCCTAACTGAACCCCAAATAATCGTAAATTTATATGTGTCAGTTCAGAAATCGACCATGTTTTTTTTTAAATGGGTTGTAATAATTATTTTAAATAGCAATAAATTTAAAAAGCATTGCTTTATGTTCAATATAAACGATTTTATTTACTACAACATTACACAAAAAAAAAGCTAATGACGTATAAATGAAGAGCACCAATTTTTAATTTTTACGTCCCGCTATTATACACAAAAGTGGAAAATAGGTACTGAAACAAATTTGCTCATTACACACTTAACTTTGTTGTGAATAGCATTGATTGTTTAATTGAATAAATATTAGGGAAAATATATAGAAGAAATCTTTTGACGAGTAAATACAATTTACATCCTATATAGAAATTTAACGAATACTTGGAAATATTTCGTCAAATATGATCAGCCGTATTTTTATTCCCAACATTTTGTCTTGGTACAATGGAGTAGTTCTTATAACGTCATTTCTTAAAGAAAAAGAGTAGAACTCATTTACACTCACCGTGTCAAGTAAATTTTATGTACTTTATATTTTAAATAACATGGAACTCTGGATTAATATATAAAAGTACGTATGGATTGAAACACACCTACACACATCACTCAAACGTACATATATGTACAAATTTATAAATTCTTACACTAGATACCTATGTATGAGTAATAAGAAAATATGGAAAGTTCTATTATCTAAAAATAATAATCAATATGTTAATTTTATACACATTGATATAACATTCTAAATCAGTAGAATAAAAAGAACTATTGTTTTATTAATTTAGAATATAAAAAAATTCTATTCACAAAAATAGAGATCGTTTTACAAAATGTATGAAATTTTTTTGAACACGCTGTACATGAAAGTATAGTTTTTCTTGATTAACCAAACGATTGGCCCATTTACAAAAATTTTAATGTCACAAGCTGCCTACACCGAAAACGGACTATGTGGTAACATCTATTGAGTATTTGTACCAAAAGCTGGGGACGGGCCGCATTCTACATTCGCTAATAATATCTACTTCTATACTGATTCATCTCACTCGCTTCAAAATTACTACACTATGGACCGTCAATAAATCTTTAGTAAAACTGTGTATTTCCTATAATCGTAACTAAAACAATATAGCCATATAGGTCGATTATAAAAGGCTTTTCTTGTTTACATTAATTAAAAACACTTTTACGACACGACCGCACTATATTAATTCTCAGAAATGTAAACAAATTTCAACCAATAAAATGCAAGTGCAAAAATTTCCCGAAACACGACGCCCTACATCGCGCGGGTTCAACTTCAAAGTCAAAAGCCAGCTTAAGTCAATGCCAACGCTGTTCATTGTGTTTATGGCAGGAGTTGAAGTTATCGATAGGGGTGTGAAATAATGATAGTGATATATTTTATATGGCCTTGAGTGAGTGGACTATGACCAAATTCGAAAGTACGTGACGAGACCTTGAATTATCGTAGTCTGAACATACCTTATACAAAATACGTAAAATTATATCAATACTGATTTGCGGTCGTGTACAACTAAAAGGATAAATAATATGAATTGAAATAAAGTTAAAATTTACATAAGGACAGAAACAATTTCAGTCGATCATTATCGTTAATGCGTAGTTTAAGAAATAATCCTTTTTGTGCTTTGTCCATAGAAGAAAAAACTGAATCCTGGAATGTAAAATTTCGTCCATGATAAGACCTTATCATCTTAATATCTATGATGAAATGCGTGACGCGACGGGACTAGGTC